TTTACAGTTCATCTCTATCCAAGGCTGAGTATTTGTACAGGAAAACATTTAGTCTATGTTCATACCAATGATTAAAACGTTGAAAGAAACTACAGTTTTAATGGAATGTATAGAGATGGGAACTTGGTGGGGATAATTTGTCCTTGTGTGTTTTGGTAAAGATTCAAGTACTGTAGAAGTATAATAAACCTACCCTAATACATGAGGAAACACAGCAATGTCTTTTAACAGTTTAAACATCTAAAAGTAAGGTAATTGGTAAATAAATGAGCAATAGCGACATTTATTGAGCATTGCTATGTCCAGGCGCATAGTCAGGAGATGAAGACTTACTCTGCTAATAGTAGTGGAGCTTAAGTTTGAATCTAAGTGTGTTTTCCATGGAGCTGCCTGAAGTTAGGTGAGTTTTGAGTTGGGCTTTGAAAGAAGGGGGTGGTATGGATTAATATGTAGAAAGTAGGGTGAATGGCTTGCACAGAGGCGTGGAGATGGGGATAAAATAAATTACGTCTCAGGTATGGAAAATAATGTGTTCAGCTATCAAGTAGTACAGTATCATGTATCTGCTGTGGTTTAGGGATCTGAGGAGTGACATTGTGAAAATGATGTTTGAAGATTATTTTATTAATGGTAAGGGATGGATTGAGGCCCAGGCATTTTTTTTTAAACAATCCACAGAACTCACTCAGATTTCATAGGTTATATATACATGTACTGTACTCCTTTGTGGTCATGTGGGTATAGTTCTCTGCAATTTTATTACGTGTATATCTTTGTGTAAATATCACTAAACTCAAGATACAGAACTGTATCCCACCACAAAGTTCCCTCAGGCTACCCCTTTATAGCCAAACCTAACCCCTGTCAACATATCCCTAACACTTAGCAACCACTAATCTGTTCTCCATCTTTATTATTTTTGTTATGTTAAGAGTGTAACATAAATGGAGTCATAAAATATGTAACTTGTTGAGATTGGCTTTTTTCGCTCAGCATAATGCCCTTGAGGTTCATCCAAGTAGTTATGTATATCAGTTTGTTCATTTTAGTGCTGAGTAATATTCCTTTGTATGGATGTACCATAGTTTAACTGTTGACTTGTTGAAGGATATTTGGGTAGTTCCCAGTTTTTGGCTATTATGAATAAAGCTGCTATGAACATTCATATACGAGTTTCTGTGTGAACATATGTTTTTATTTCTCTAAGATAAATACCCAAGCATACAATTACTGGGTTATACAAATCCATTTTTAGTTTTAAAAGAAATGACCAAACTATTTTCCAGAGTGGTTGTACTGTTTTTTAAATTCCCACCATCAATGTATAAGTGATCTAGTTTCACCACATCTTCACCAGCATTTGGTGTTATCACTTAAAATTTTTTTTTAGCCATTCTGATAGGTTATTCTCCATTGAATTGCTTTTGCACCTTTGTCAAAAATCAATGGGGCACATTTGTCTGAATCTATTTCTGGGTTCTCTGTTCTGTTGTGTGTGTATGTCTGTCCTTCTGTCAATACCACACTGTCTTGTTTACTCTAACTACGTGGTAAGTCTTGAAATTGGATAGTATGAGTTCTTCAACTTTGTCTTCTTCACTATTGTGTTGGCTTTTCCTAGAATAGCCTTTCCTTTTCATATAAACTTAAGAATAAGCTTGTCTATGTGTACAAAATACTTTCCTGGAATTTTGATAGGAATTGCATTAAACCATATATGTAGTCAATTTGGGAAGTATTGACGTCTTTACTATGTTGAGTTTTCTAATCCATGAACACAGTTAGTCACTCCAGTTATTTAGGCCTTCTTTGCTTTCTTTCATCAATTTTTGTAATTTTCAGCATACAGATCCTGTTCATATTTTGTTGGATTTACACCTAAAAATTTCGTTTTGAGGGAACAATTTTAAATAGTATTGTATTTTCAAATTTTGGTTTCTGCTTGTTTGTTGTTAGTATATAGAAATACAACTGATTTTTGTATGTTGATCTTGCAATCTTGCTAAACTCTCTTATTAGTTATAAGAGCTTTTCTTGTATATTGGGATTTTCTTTATAGACAAGCATCTCATGTACAGATAGGGATAGTTTTATTTCTTCTTTTCCAATCTGGATGCCTTTTATTTCTTTTTCTTACTTTATTGTGGTGGCTAGGATTTCCAGTACTATATTGAGTAAGAGTGATGAGAACGGACATCCTTGCCTTTTTCCCAATCTTTAAGGGAAAGTATTCAGTCTTTCGCTGTTAAGTATGATGTTAGCTGTAAGTTTTTTTTGTAGCTGTTCTTTATAAAGTTAAAGAAGTTCTCTATTGCTGGTTTTCTGAGGGGCGTTGATTTATCATGAATGGTGTTAGATTTTTAAAACAATGTTTTTCTCTGTCAATTGATGTGATCATATAATTTTTCTGCTTTAACCTGTTGATATAGTGTATTACATTGATTTTTTTTTTGAATATTATACCAGCCTTGCATACCTGGAATACATACTGCATGGTTGTGGTCTATTATCTATTGTTGGTTTTGATTTGCTCATACTTTGTTAAAGATTTTACACCTAAGTTTGTGAGAGATATTGGTCTGTAGTTTTCTTGTGATATCTTTGACTGGTTTTGGTATTGGTAGTACTAGCTTCATAAAATTAGTTGGGAAATGTTACTGCTTCTTCGATTTCTGGAAAACATTGTGTAAAGTGGCTGTTAGTTTTTCTTTCAATGTTTGGTAAAATTCTCCAGTGAAACCATCTGGGCCTAGGGATTTTTTCAAGAAATTTTCAATTACAAATTTGATTTCTTTAATAGTTACAGGATTATTCACGTTATCTACTTCATCTTGACTAAGTTCTGGTAGTTAGTCATTTTCAAAGAATTGGTCCATTTTTTTTCTAAATTGTTGAATTACGAGCTAAAGTTGTTCATAGTATTCCCTTATCTTTTTTTAAAAAATTGAGATAAAAGTCATATAACATTAAATTCACTATTTTAAAAGTATGCAGTTCGTTGGGGTTTTTTTTGGTATATTCACAGTGTTTTGCAACCATCACCACTATCTAATTCTGGAGCATTTTCATCACCCCAGAAAGAAATTCTGCACCCATTAAGCAGTACCTTCCCGTTCTCCTCTTCTCCCAGCCTCTGGCAACCGCTAGTCTATTTTCTGTCTCTAGATTTGCCTGTTGTGGATATTTCAGGTAAATGGAGTCATACAATATGTGGTCTTTTGTGATTGGTTTATTTCACATAGCATGTTTTCAAGGTTCATTCATGTTGTTGCATGTATCAGTACTTGCTCCTTGGCTCATGGCTCCATCACTCTGACCTCTGCTTTCATTGTCTCATCTCCTCTGACTCAGAGCCTCCTGCCTTCCTTTTGTGAAGACCTTTGTAATTACATTGGGCCCACCCGGATAATCCAGGATAATCTTCCCATCCTTAATATAACATAACAATACATGCAAAGTCTTTTTTGCCACATAAGGTAACATTCACAGGTTTCAAGGTTGAGGACATAGACGTCTTTAGGGGGACCATTATTCTACCTACTATGTGGACTTTAGATCTTTTATTATCATCCCACTGCTCCCTGAGACTCTTCTTTGTGTTAGTCTTTTTTCTCTCTTTTGTTTAGATTGAGTAAACTATTGATCTTGTCCTCAAGTTCACCGAATTTATCCTTTGTCATCTCTGCTACTGGGCTTATCTAGCAAATTTTTTATTTTGGAAATTGTATGTTTCAGTTGTATGATTTCCATTTGGCACTTTTTTAAATAACTTCTGTTTCTTTCTGAGATTTTCTCTTTGTTTTAAGAGAATTCTTAATTGTTTGTTAAAGCATTTTTGTGATGGCTGCTTTAAAATTCTTGTCAGATAATTCCAACATGTGATTCATTCTGGTGTTGGCATCAGTGTGATTGTGTTTTCTCATTCAAGTGTGTTTTTCCTGGTTCTTGGTATGACTTGGTATGACTTTTTTTTTTTTTTAATATCCTGGACATTTAGGGTATTAATGTTAAGAGACTCTTGATCCTATTTAAATCTTCTATTTTAGTAGGCAGTTACTTTATTTAGGTTTAGTGTGTAGGTCCTAGTCCACTTTTGTGAGCTGTGTAATTCGTATGATAATTTAGTTTTCAGAGTTCTTGCAGTGCTATTCTCTTCTGTTTTATTCTTCTGGAACCACAGGGACTCCTGTTTGATCTCTACGAGTGTTACCTGTGCTTACTGGTGGGTGTGGGTCCCCAGCTCTGCTGCTGCCAAGGACAGATTGGCTGGACATGGCCCCAGGTGTGGGACGGGGACTTGGTTGCCCCTCTGGTGAATCTGGCCTACTGCTGTCTGGGTGTGGGGTTGAGACCCTGCTGATGTTGATATTGATGCTGTGGTGGATTGGGTCCCACACTGTCCTGGGTGGGGATTGGGGAATCTGTCTCCCCTCTAGGTCTCTGCTGAGCTTCCCCTTTCACAATCCTTTGACCAGAAAGCAGGATTTTCTCAATAGTTTATTTATCTGTCTGTCTATCCCTATGTGTGGTTCCGGGTTGCTGTTCTGGTGCCCACTCATAGATATATAGGAGATAAAAGGAAACCCAGCGAACAGCACCACTCACAGTGGTGTTTTTCCTCTCGTCTTGAGCCCCCTAGCCAGTCCACCCTCTTCTTTGTGCCTTTCAGAGTCATTTTATGATTGTTGAATTATTTCTAGGGTATTTAGTTGTATTTAGAGGAGAGGAGCAGGGAAATGTGAGCCTGTGCCATCATATTCTAGAACTGGAACCCTAACAATTTTTTTTTTTGCACTGGTATTTATTGGCGATTCTCTGCAATGGTCGAGGCTTATGTTTTTATTGACACCCTACTTTTTAGAGTGTTTCTCTGCATCTGTTGTTGAGTGTAGGAACAAGATAAGAATTATTCTTCTCTTGTTTAAATTGTATGGGAATTAGAAATGTCATGTTTTTATCTGTCCATCTATTTATTTGCTCATTTATGTATTTATCTTTAGGGAGTGGAGCAACGGCTGTGGTCCAGGCAGCGTATTGTGTTCCTAAAAAGGAGAAAGTGGCAATCAAACGGATAAATCTTGAGAAATGTCAGACTAGCATGGATGAACTCCTGGTATGCACATCTCATATTTCTTATATGGAGAGATATACTCATATATTCATATTAGAGTGGGAAATAACTTGAAGTGTTTTATTTCTTTTTTTAAAAAAGGTGTGATTTTTTCATTAAGTAGTAATGTTTATTGTAAAATTTATAAAAATCCAGGTAAGTAGAGAGAAAAAAATTAGTTATTATCCTGTCATGCTGAGATTAATACTTGCTATATAATCTTTCAGATGGCACATTTAAACATCTTTGTATTTTTATGATAATGTAATCATATAGTTGTTCTTTTCATTGAAACATTTATCATAGAAATCTTTCTGTATCTATAAATATGAATTAATATAATTTTCAATATGTGTGTAGTATCCGTTGAATATGTAGACCACACTTTATTTAACCTATTCTCTGGTATTGGACAATTAACTTGTTTCCTCTTTTTCATTGTTATAAACGATACTTGCTTACTTCTGTCTTTCCTTAAAATAGTATCATTCAATTATGATTTCTGGGTCAAATGGAATATCCTTTAAAAGGCTTTTGGCCTCCTAGGAACATGGTACCAGTCTGCATTCTGACTATTGATGCAAGATGAGAGATAGAATGACCCCCCCAGGGAGAAGAAAGGGAGTCCCAGGAATCAGTAACTGCAAGAGATGTTCTGTGGCATTAAAAGCTAGTCACACGGGGATTGTTTTTACTTCTTTTATGCACCATGACACCCAGAGTAGTTTTTTTTTTTGTGTGAGGAAGATCAGCCCTGAGCTAACATCCATGCCAATCTTCCTCTTTTTGCTGAGGAAGACCGGCCCTGAGCTAACATCTATTGCCAATCCTCCTCCTTTTTTTTTCCCTTTTTCTCCCCAAAGCCCCAGTAGATAGTTGTGCGTCGTAGTTGCACATCCTGCTAGTTGCTGTATGTGGGATGCCACCTCAGCATGGCCAGACAAGCGGTGCGTCGGTGTGCGCCCGGGATCCAAACCCGGGCCGCCAGTAGCGGAGCGCGAGCACTTAACCACTAAGCCATGGGGCCGACCCCCGGAGTAGTTTTAAATAAGTTGTAACTGGTCAGCAAGGGAAATGAGATAGTTTTTCAAATCATTTAACTTTTTAAATCCTCAATTTCTTTGGCTTAAAATGGAAATAATATCTGCTTTGTGTACCTCATGAGGTTTTTCTTGAAGATCAAATGATACTGTACTTGAAAACTATAAACTGCCATACAAATATGAACTAATATTGTTATTTGATTAGGTAATTTCTCTAAGATCATGTACAGCTAGTGATAGAAAGGACAGGAATTAGGATTGGGATGATCTGACAGTCCAGAAGTTTTTTGCATTGTCCCAGATTGGATTTAATTTCTGGTATAGTCTGTACTGACTTAGGGAATAATTGGAATAAAAGGAAAAGAGATAATAGAATTATATGTTGAACTTTTAAGCAGATGAGACAAATGTATTTCTTCAGGAGTTGGTAATGCATGAGCAGAAGCTGAAGAAGTGGGTTTCTGGAGTGATCTTGAGCCGTCTTTGGTGAGCGAACACACACTTGGAAGGAGATGCTGATTGAAATCCTCTTTGATGATCTTGGATTTACAGATGCCAGCAATACCTTAGAGCACCGTTTGGACATTTGAACTGCAGTGATCATAAAAGAAGTCTAAATTGTAAACTAATTCTGTTAAAGAAAAGTAATATTGTTAACCTACATGTTGACTGGAATTTGAGACGCCCAATATAAATTCCTATCATTTGCCATTTTACATAATCCATAAGGATAGTGTAAAGATGAGTAGAAGTCTTATTATTTATTACTTCATGACTAAAGAAACTGAGGCTCAAAGTTTAAATAACTTGACTAAGTTCGTATGATAATAATAGCTAACATCTTTTCAGTGCTAGGCACTTAAGCGTACTTGAACCTCATAAACCTCTCTATGATATAGGCAGTAGTTCCTTTTTATAGATGAGGGAAATAAATCATAGTAAGTGACAGAGTCTGGATTAAAAATCAGGTCGTTCTGCCTCAAGTCTATTATTTTCTACTTCAAATAATAGCAAAAAGATTATAATCTTAGTTCAAAAATAGAAAGAACATCTTTTCTCATGTCATTTGACATTCTTAAAAGTATTATTTGTGTTATTACACTAGGGCCTTACTTTTAGAGGAATGCAAATTCAATACAACCTAGTAAAAGGAAAAAAATTGATTAGACCTCCATAAGTTTTGCCCACATATTCCAATAAGCTTTACATTGGAAATATAGTATTTATATATTTGGCAAGTAAGTAAAGGTGAGGGAGTGACTTTTAGTGAAGCAAATTTAAGATAATTGGCTTTGTGGGAGGCAGACAGGTAAGATCTCACTAAACCCTGAAGAAACATCAGGCATATAAAGAATGCCTGATTTATTTGTGGTGTTTGTTGTGTCGGGACCTGAGATCTGAGTGCCAACGGCTCTATTTCTGTGATATGAAGCCCTTCAGTTTACCTTAAAAAACACCTATTAGATAAACATACTAAACTTTTGATGTTGTGATTTTAAAATTTATTTTCAAAACTATGTTTATTATAATGCAGAAAGGGTGCTCTGGATCTCCAGAGAGTGCTGACGTAAACTGATTACAGGTGTGTATCGTGTGTGACAGTTAATAGTGAGGAGGCAGTATATCATTCCTTTCTCTTGTCAAAATGTTTTCTTTTGTCTGACAACCTTTGCTAAGTGTAATGGGAAAATCAGCTGTCAAATCTTACTACATTTATTTTCGCCAGGGGATTTTACTCATAGGCTTTTCTCTAAGAAGGCACACAGTGCAGTGTTTTGAGATTTTTCTCTTCTTTAGTAGATGCCGGGACCAGGTTCATTGACAAACATCTGAGGGGGGAACATTAAGAGTTTTAGAGTTAAGGCTCTTGCCTGCTGTACAAGGCAGAGTGTGACAAATGCCTAGGAAAGGTATAAAGTACTGTGGAAGTAAGAGGAGGAAGAGAGTTCCCAGTTATGAAGATGGAGGCCTTTGTGGAGATGTTTGTGTCCTGGGCTGCCAGGGCTGGGGAGATGGAGAGATGGAGTCCCTGCCAGGCAGGGGTTTAGAATCATTAAGGAATAGCATATGTGTGTATGTGTGTGTGTATGAAAATATATGATATATATGAATATGATATATATTCATGAATATTAATATAACTGAAACAATATTTTCATAAAACAATTCTTAATTATATTATGTGGAATGCACTCTGATTTTCTATTCTGTTTCTTTTTGTTTGTTTTTAACACGATTCACTAAATTTATTTCATGACCCATGTGAGCTGCATCCCATAGCTTGAGGAACACTGGGCTACACAAGAGGTACTGAGGCTCTAAATTCAGGCAGTGACAGTGACAATGGAAAGGAAGACACAGATTCTCTAGACATTTTATAGATGGGAAAATTGTTAGTACTAGAATGAGTACTCCATGAGGGCAGGGGCTTGTTTTGTTCACTCTGTATGAATGAATGAATAAATTAACATTACTTGGGAGCTGACTGAATTGTATAAAGTGGAGGAAAACTGCCTACCTTGGGGTAATTAGAAAACCAGGGAGTAAACAGTAGAAATCAAGATGAATGAGTTTCATGAAGCAATGAAAAGTCATCACTAAAAAATTGCTTCAGAAAGCTTCAGGTGGAGACTGAAAAGTCCAAACAAAAGATCTGGTACTAGCAGATAATAGAGGACTTTCTTTTTTTTTCCTTTTTTTGTGAGGAAGATCAGCCCTGAGCTAACATCCATGCCAATCCTCCTCTTTTTGCTGAGGAAGACTGGCCCTGGGCTAACATCCATGCCTATCTTTCTCCACTTTATATGGGATGCTGCCACAGCATGGCTTGAGAAGCGGTGCCTCGGTGCAGGCCCAGGATCTGAACCCGGGCCGCCAGCAGCAGAGCGCGCGCACTTAACCGTTTCGCCATGGGGCCAGCCTCAATAGAGGACTTTAAAGAAAACACTTTCATTAGTAGGGGTGGAATTCACTTATAAGTGTTGAGGAAGCTTCTGGGAAATTTGAGTCAGAATGAATATTCACTCTTGCAAAGCACTTATATATTTATTTTTCTTTTTGAAAGGAAAAGGAAAAGAATAACTCCAGTGGCAGTTAAGATAAAAGAAGGTTCCTTTTCCCCCTTTAAAGGAATAGAAGAGAAGAAAAGGAATATTTAAGGCCCTTTTAATCTTTGAATTTTATGGTTCTCTGATAGACTCCCGTTAGAAAACCCTTTGTAATACCCCCCTTTTTCAGGGTAAAGCTCAAAACCTTTAGCTTAACATTTAAGACCTTGGACAATTTGACCCCAACTTTTTGCATTAATTGTTACTCTCCCATGTTATTCCTGTCTGTCTCACCTCCCCCATCCGACTGGTCACCAAGTCCTATTGTTTATACCTCTTTAGTATTATCTCTTGACTTCTCCCTTTCTTTTCATTCATATTGCCACTTATTTTTTTAAACTTTCTATTTTGATACAGTTGTAAACTTACCAAAGTGTTGCAAAAGCAGTATAGAAAGTTCCTGTATGCAGTTCACCCAACATCTCCTGATTGTAACATAACCACTATACAGTGATTAAAACTGAGAAATTAGCTATTTATCATTTTTAAGGCCACCATCTCTCTCACCCAGATCATGGCAATAGCCTTAAACTAAGTCTTTGCCTCTAGTCTTGCCTTCTCTTATTTATTTTCTACATTACAGCCAGAGTGATTTTTATGAAAAAATAAATATAGTTCAACCTTTGATGCCTTTCCATTGCTGTTAGGATGAAGCCTAAGTTCTTGAACACAGTTACAACGTCCTTTATGATATGGTCACAGGTAATTAAACAATCAAAACCCATAAAAACCTACTTATCTTTCCTATTTCAGTGTCAGTTCAGTAGTAAAACTTTTTATAGGAAGCCTTCCCTGATTATCACTCCTTGATAATTTGCCTCTTTGATGAAATCATGTAGTATCTAGTATTTCCTCTATTAAACTGTTTATTAATCTATGTTGTAAATTAGTATTTGTTTAACTTCTTCACCAGACAAGTTTCATGAGGCACCTAGCACTACACCTGCCACGTAGTAGGTGCTTGGTAAATATCTGTTGAAAGCATCAACTACTTACCCTAGACAGGTTTACTCATTGTGTCCTAAAATCTGTCTTGCATATTTCATCTTTTTTTTTTGTAATTATATATTCCTTGTACCTTGTACTGCTGTAATATCTTCACATCCTGCAGAACTAAACCTAGTTCCCACCTCCCCTGTGAAGACTTCTTGCCTACCTTAACTATTCTTTCCCTTGGATTCTTGTAACATTTAATATCTTTACTACTCACTTGGCACATACATGCTGTCCTATATATTCTCTCTCATATGTACATGTCTTATCTTTTCGAATCCTGTATAACTATGTCAATAGGCAGGTGCTTACTTTAGTTCCTTCTTCCTTTTCCCTCATATTTACTTAGCTTTTAGTACAGAAGACTGTGCTGGTGACTTTGGGGGTTACAAAAATTCATACGATAAGGTCCTTGCCATAAAGAAATTTACATTCAAGTAACAGAAGATGAGAAAAGAAAAACTAGTGTTTATCAAGCACTACTTATGAATCAGGGATTATGGGCAATTTTTACACAATTGATCTTACTGAACAAATACCAAGGGCATATAGGGCAAGTACATGAATAAGTAAAAAGCTATATAAAGTGCTGTAGGATTTCATTCATTCAGCAAATATTTATTGAAGGTGTACTGTGTGCCAGGCACAATGATAAGTGCCAGGAATACCAGCGTCTTAGCTCTCATTGAGCTTACAGTTTTGTGAGGGATGCAGAAAAATAAACAGGCAATTATAGTATAGTGTAAGTTCCACAGTGTTTAGCAATCCACTTTTAAATACTTGCCTTCATGGAGCTCTCAGTCTAGCAGGGAGGGACAGACAAATAAGCACCTGATGTACTAGCCAGTACACACGTGCCATGAGGTAAGGAGAGATACAGGGATCTTGGAAGCCACGAGAAGGGACACCTACCTCAAACTGGGGAGCTAGGAGGAAATGATATTTTGGCTGAGATCAGAAGGAAGGATTGGTGTTTTTAGCTAGGCAAAAATGAGGAAAGTGTATTTGAGGCAGAGGGAACAATAAGGTTAAATGTTGATGGTTAGAAGCAGCATGGCTTGCTTGAAGTTACTGTGGCTGGATCGTAGGACTGGGGTGTGTTGCAGGTAGGATCAGTGAAGGGAAATAGAAATGAGACTAGAGGGCCGGCTCCGTGGCTTAGCGGTTAAGTGCGCGCGCTCTGATGCTGGCGGCCCGGGTTCGGATCCTGGGCACGCCCCAAGGCACCACTTCTCCGACCAACCCGAGGCCGAGTCCCACGTACAGCAACTAGAAGGATGTGAACCTATGACATACAACTATCTACTGGGGCTTTGGGGGGAAAAAAATGAATAAATAAAATCTTTAAAAAAAAAAATAGAAATGAGACTAGAGAGGTAAGCAGGACCCTCATCACACAGGGCTTTTTTTTTTTTTTTTTTTGTGAGGAAGATCAGCCCTGAGCTAACATCCATGCCAATCCTCCTCTTTTTGCTGAGGAAGACTGGCCCTGAGCTAACATCTATTGCCAATCCTCCTCCTTTTTTTCCCCCTTTTCTCCCCAAAGCCCCAGCAGATAGTTGTACTTCATAGTTGCACATCCTTCTAGTTGCTGTATGTAGGACGCGGCCTCAGTATGGCCAGACAAGTGGTGGGTCGGTGTGCGCCCGGATCCGAACTCGGGCCACCAGTAGCGGAGCATGCGCACTTAACCACTAAGCCATGGGGCCGGCCCCACACAGGGCTTTATAAGGCATTTTATCACACCAAATCTAATCTAAAGTCATTAACTGAGATACTGTAAGCTTAGACTTTTGGCTCAGGTTTCTACTTTGGATTTAGTTTATGACTTTGCCCTGTTTCAGTATATTTCTCTTTAGAGTGGAAATTGTTAATCATTTCACAAAAATGGGATGAAGTAATATTTTGAAAAAAAAAAAAAAAACCCACAAACAAAAACCACCCTCTGTTTATTACTAATTATCCTCTGTAACTCTAAAACCAGATTTCCCAAGATGGTTCTTCAAGAGCACCTTGAAGTAAAAATTTGTGTCCCAGTGGAGGCCTCTGTGGTGCTGTGCCAGAGTGTGATTAACAGTGCATGTTTCTAGCTTCAAAGATTACTGGTGTAATGAGTGAAAGGAGTAGAGTCAGAATGGACTGAAGGAAACTAAGTGATTTTTTGGTTTAACCATTCTTGAAGAGGTCAGGGCCATGGAGATCCCAGAAAGGTTATAATACATGTAGCCTTGGGATTTCCAAATCTGAATTCACTACTTGTAGTGTTGTTTTAGGCTTACATATAATGAATTATCATGTTTTTTCTTCTTTGTAGAAAGAAATTCAAGCCATGAGTCAGTGCCATCATCCTAATATCGTGTCTTACTACACGTCTTTTGTGGTAAAAGATGAGCTGTGGCTAGTCATGAAGCTGCTAAGTGGAGGTGAGTAGAGTACAATGAAATGTTAACTTCCATAGCTCGTAAAGTTAATAAAAATGTTCTTCTTTTCTATCCTGGTTTGGTTTTCATGGACATCTGCATTTAAGGAGATACTGAGAATATAGTATTTACTAATGATGCTAGTGTATGAGCTGAGACAGGTTTCACACATTGAGTTTGGTTGTCATGCCTCTTAAATCTCTCTTTATCTAGGATGGTTCCCTCCCGCTTCCTCACCTCCATGACCTAAACTTGTTGAAGGGTCTAGTCTGAAGGGTCTAATGATAACTATTTTGTAGAATGTCCCACGTTCTTCTGGATTTATCTGATTATTTCATCCTGGTGTTTAACTTGATTTATATTCCTCTATTTCTTGCAAATTGAAAATTAGACCTAAAGATTTGATTAGATTTAAGTTAAATATTTTTGAACAGAATATTTTGTAGGTGATGCTGTGTACTTCATACTGTATCACATCCGGCACTGTTTGCTATCTGGTTTTATCTTTAATGGTGGTGTTAAGTTGGATTGCTTAAGATTATGACAGCCAGGCCACTCCATGAAAAAGTTAACTGTTTTTGCCCTTTGCAGCTAGCAGGTAATCTGTGAGATAATACTTTGGCACTGTCATTATCTGGTTCCCCATAAGTCTTTTGTCTAATGATTTTAGCATCCATTAACAATCTTTGTTTGAATCTCTTATTGTATAAGGGGTTGCAGAATGGTGACTTTTCTTATTGCATCCTTTCTTTTACATTTACAAACTGGCATGCTTCTGTGTAAAGGAACTTTACCTTATTAACTGGGGCTCTTTGATTAATCTGTACTGTAGTTCCTACTGAAAAGGCAGGATAAATAATTGATTATTCTTTTATGAACCAATTTTCAGAGCAAAGAGTTAGTTAAATAATCACCTCCAATGGTAGCAAATCAGATGAGTTTTTGTTTTTTTCCCTCTTTCCCATTGGGTACTGCTTTCATTTTTTTTTAGTATCATTATATAGACTCAAGGAGTTATATATATTCAGTATGTTTCAGTCAGTTATACTCTATTTGGATGCTCAGGTTGTCCAAAATTTTGTCAGTGGGAGTCCCTTCAAGCTTACTCTTGTGTCCTTTTGACATGAATCCATCAGTCTTTGATAACTTGCTTGTTTTTCAGTTCAAGATTTCCTAGGTTTGTGTTTATATCGCTTTTCCCAGACCCAGAATCAGCCAATGCTCTAAGGAGCTCTGATCTTTTTTGTGTGTGTGTGTGTGTGTGTGTGTGTGTGGTAGTTTGTGGGTAAATGTTATTGATATAGGCGTTTTTTTTTAAATTAATTAATTAATTTATTTATTTTTCCTCCAAAGCCCCAGTAGATAGTTGTATGTCATGGTTGCACATCCTTCTAGTTGCTGTATGTGGGACACGGTCTCGGCATGGCCAGAGAAGCGGTGCCTCGGTGCGCGCTCAGGATCTGAACCCGGGCCGCCAGCATCGGAGCGTGCGCACTTAACTGCTAAGCCACGGGGCCGGCCCAGCTCTGATCTTTTTTATGAGGGATGGTATTTAGAAAGCTTAACTTGGATGCTTGGGTTGCTCATTACTACTACTTTGTCATTGCTTCTAGTTGAAAGAACTCGGAAATATAGCATATTAAAAATAAATCATGATTTGACATTAATACTTCTAATTCAAGTTTAGCATTACAGACCTTAAAACTTTAAAATTATACTTGAATCTCTTTTCTCTTCACAGAAAATCTTGGTCCCCGATATTAACATAATTAATTATGTGCTTTATCCTGCAGTATATATAAAGTTATTTCTGATTTAGTCCTTAGAATAAAATGTAAGTATTGCTGACTGCAAACACTGAACCCTTGGCATGTATAGAGAGAACATTTTGTTAGGTTACCTGACGGTCCACCCCATGTAGTAAATTAGACATTTTGCCAAGCAAGGCATGGATTTGAATCATGTGGCAAGATTGAGAGGACTAATGACTGATGGAGCCACCCAACTTTCCCATCACTATGCTGCTTGGTTTTTGTTTGCATATGTATTTTGTGTAGGAGCGTGATTTTCTGTTTTAGAATGTAGGGTTTCAGAAAAGAAAATCCGTGATTTTTTGCAATTTTAATACCATGCCTCATTGAACACTTTACTTCCCCAGAGAGGCTGTAAAGGAAAGAGCATAGGTTTTAGAATTAAATTCTAGCTTTTCTACTTAGCAGTTGTATGTCATTGGACAAACTGTTTCAACTCTTTGAACCTGTTTACTTGTCTGTTGAATGGGGATACCTTTCTGTATTTCAGGGTATTGAGGGGGAGTAAATGAGATAATATATGTAGAGCATCCACCACTGTGCTGCCACGTAGTAGGTGGACTAGAAATTTTAGTCATTAATAATAATAATCCCTCGTTATTTAATGCTTTTCAGTGTAGCCAGAATCACCTTTTTGTTTCAATCCCATTAGTGACACACTGGAGAAACTGGATTGCTTTGTTAAAGGCCCTGTTCATATGATGATTGGAAGCCTTGCTAACACCAACCACCTTTCAAGATGGTGGTCAAGCATGGTTCTTTCAGTATGGACAGATATGGGAATATTAGGTAATACTGTATCTTTCATTATTCATCACCTATAAGCATAATTTTCTTTATTTGTAATTTACAAAAATGTGTAATACAAAGTTGTTAATGCTTTGCTAAAAAGTCCTCTGATGACAACGAATAAATCGTTTCCTTAATTCTCTCATCCATAGCTGAATGCCACCCCATCCTTTCAGCTACTCCTCAGTAAAATAACTTTTTTTTTTTTTTTAAAGAATCCGTTTTCCTCTCTCAGTGAGTATGTGTCCTCATCACAGAAGGGGCAGGACATGTAGCTGGCTAGGATGTCTTTTAAATGTACCTCTCTGTCCCTCCTGGTCTTAGGTTTCCTGGAACAGTGCCCAGTTTTTCCAGCCTAGCACTCAGCAAATGTCCTGGATAATTTTCAGACGTGTTCCATGCATTAATTCTTTTCATAATTACTTATATTTTGATGAGTCAACATAATCTTACATCTAAACCTTGTAAAATATTTAAAATTTTGCATCTTTTTTAAGGAAAATGAAATTTTGCAATTGTAGTTATAAAGTGAATACACATTTAAACTGAAGAGATACGTTAAATAATATTTAGAAAACAAAAGATAGAACTAAGTGCAACTTAAAATTTTTTTTTTTTTAATTTTTCGTTTTTTTTTTTTAATTTAATTTAATTTTTTTCCCCAAAGCCCCAGTAGATAGTTGTATGTCATAGCTGCACATCCTTGTAGTTGCTGTACGTGGGATGTGGACTCAGCATGGCTGGACAAGCCGTGTGTCGGTGCGCACCTGGGATCCAAACCCGGGCTGCCAGCAGCGGAGCGCGTGCACTTAACCACTAAGCCACAGGGCCAGCCCTAAAATTTTTTTTAAAATAAGAGGAAACTATATCAAGATAGCTCAGTTAAAATGCTGTTCATCAAATACTTATTAATCACCAATACATTGGTGCATCAAACTGTTGGTTCCTTGCTCTTATAGCTATTATTAGCTATATATTACAGCTAATATTCCATATTAGCTAATACGGGAAAGTTACAATTAAATAATTTTAAGTGTCCAAGGGCCATGAAGAAGTATCAGGCGCCATGGAAACAAGTACCAGGAGAACCAACCTTATTGAGGGAGAATGGATGCGATGGAGTTAACACAGATTTCCCTCAGGAAGTGATGTTCAACTGAGACCTAAAAAATAGGTAATAATTTGGGCCAGCTCCGTGGCTTAGCGGTTAAGTGCGCGCGCTCTGATGCTGGCGGCCCGGGTTCGGATCCCGGGCGCGCCCCAAGGCACCGCTTCTCCGTCCAGCGCGAGGCTGAGTCCCACGTACAGCAACTAGAAGGATGTGAACCTATGACATACAACTATCTGCTGGGGCTTTGGGGGGAAAAAAGTGAATAAATAAAATCTTTAAAAAAAAAAAAAAAAATAGGTAATAATTAGCCAGGTGAAATGGGAGGTGGAGGTGGTGTCGAGAAGGATGGGAGAAGTGATCCAGATGGAGGGACCACTGTGCAGAGAAGGGTCTAGAGGCAGGATAGAGGAGTGTGGTGTGTCTTGGGAACTGATGGTGGTATCACAGCTGGAGCAGAGACAGTGAGAGGAGAGGACCATTGATAAGCAGGGGTTCCCTTTGAATAATTAAAAAATATAAATAACCACAGTTAACTGAAATATATATAGGCTGTCTTCTTTCACATCAACTTTTTTAGTCAAAATATTTAAAACAAAAGCATATTTTTGATTTAGCAACATCATACTGAGGTAGAGTTTAATAAGCTAATTAAATTGTAAAATGAGTTGTAACTGTCATTCTTAAACCCGTCAACCAGCCGCACATCATGATTAAAATAAGTTTAAATGTGTCAATATTATAATTATTTCATAATGCTTCCTTATAACTAATATTCTTATTTTTGCTAATTAAAACTCTGATGTTGAATGTTGGTATTTATTTATATAGAAAGTCAATCTTTAGAAATTAGAAGCACTTTTGATCTAAATAGCTTTTTCTATAATTTATCACCAAACTGCAATATAAGATTTTTAGAAATCAAAGTAATTAAGAAAGCTTCTGAAAGGAAAAGAGAAAGAAGTACCTGTAGGACTTAAACAAATGAATTGTAGAAATGTAGAAACCTAATTTAAATTTACTGTCTTAGTGAGTTGTTTTGTTGTTTAGAGATGGTCTCAACTTTGTCATCTTCTAAGATGTAAAAAGTATGGGAACTTCCTTGATCTTAAGCAAGACTCAGGGAAAATACCTGGTATTAATAGTGACCAGCTTTGGATGCTCAAGCAACAGGGTAGGGTATGTCTGTTGCTGTGAAATGGAATACTCAGACCAAGCAAATTTTGACCTCTTTGAAAATGTGAGAGATCGAAATTTGGCCACTCCAAAATATATCTCTTTACCTTGATTATTTTCTTTGATGGACTTTTGACCGCCCTTAAACTGCCTAAAGAATTTAACATAGAAGGCCTGTTTCAGGAAGGAGCCACTACCATATGATGGCTATAATCTAATGTAAAATAGATGCTACAATGGGAAAGGCACCAACAAGCCCATCTTATCAAAAATTCTGTCTCTCCCAGGCCACATTCTCTAGGTGGCCCTGTAAAGGGTTGTCAGACAAACATTTACATTTATAACGGAAATCTCCATTTGTAAAGGTATCTCCGTCTCTGTACTGGGAAGAGGGGGGATGACCTCATCTCTAGAAACTTATCAGTTTGGAAGGTGAGGCATTAAATCTGCATAATAACCTTACTTTTGTTTACTGTGCTTTTCTGGTAATCTCCCATAACTGACTCCCCCCATCCCCAACATCCTCTTTTCTCTTTAGCTGAAGATAATGTTTAAGATGAGAACCTCCACCATTTTGTTGAGAAAATTCAGTTTCCCTGGTTTCTCCCATGTATACATGTTATTAAACTTGGTATTATTTTCTCCTGCTAACCTATCTTTTAATTATTTGGCCAGCCATAAGAACCTTAAGGGAAAGGGCAGAAGGGTATTCTCCCTCTTCCCCAACAAAACCTTCTGTGGCTCAGGAAGACACAGACAACACCCAGTAGCTAAAGAGTGGCTAAAACTTATTGGTAGAAATACTAGTGACTAAAATGAGTAAGTTAATTTTGGACTCAAAGAGTGTTTTTTCATAAAAGTAAACTGAAAAACATATTGACTGAGTAACTAATTTGATTGAACTATAATTATCAGATTTAACAAGCATCTTAAACTAGCAGGTGTTTCACTACTTTTTCAATATTATTTTAATATTTAGTAATAATTTTCTTGGACAGTTAAAGTTTTGCATTGCTTTTAAATGTTCTGTGCCATAGGCTGTGAAGGCAGACATGAGATGGTTTTGGGAATAAATGATCTACATTTTAACTTTTTGCTTTCTTACAAAATTTGTACCAAATCGCTCTTGTTTTTCCTTATTTAATTTACTTGCTTTTACTCTGAGAAATGCTTGGATTTCAAAGGAAAGTGTTCATCAGGTAGCCTGGGTTGTTAAAATGCAACTTCTTGGGCTACCTCAGATCTTTTAAATGACAGTCTGTAAGGCCTGGGAATCTGCATTTTTAGCTAGAAGTAATTCCTTCATGTATTAAAGTTTAAGAATAGATTATCTCTGTAGAATATTTCTTTCAGATAGTGCCGAGAACATAACACTGTATATGCTGCTATAGCCTTCCTTCATTATTCCTACTTTTCTTTAGGTATTAATTTGAATCATCCAGTGATAATCTACAGTTTTCTTTTCTTAGCATATTTTACCTTCACCTTTCTCTTAGTTGATATGAAGAATTCTATGTAATTTTGATATTAGAGGTGAGAGGATTGTAAGCACTACCATTGTGTTAGATGCTGCAAGATGCTGAGGATATCATATGCAAAAGAAGGGGGGACCTTCGAGGACCAATATTTGTCAGTTAAGGATGAAGGTCTTAGTGGCATGATCATCCCTCCACTTATAAAAATTATATTGTTGGGAGACTGAAACTGAAAAGACATTGTCATCCCAGGGAAGAGGGGGCTTCTTATATAGCCTTGTTCAGAATATCTGTTCTGGACATAGCTTGGGGATGTTTATTGCTTTAATTTCCCCCTTGATTGTTGGATTATGTGAAATCAATAAAAATCTTCTGAGATTTTGAAAAGGAGTTCCTGCTTTAAACTCTTTACAAATACAGATCTAATAACTTTTTATGTGCCCTAGGGTCTTTGTTGCCCCATTTGTTTGATCCACCAGACTGTAAGTTCCCTGAAAGTCGGCAGTAGTGCCACATGTATCTTGACATATTCTGTGGCACCCAATTCTAGATCTTGCATGTATAGCTTAATTGTTGAATGAATAAATCATGTTAATTTTTAATTCCTAGTAGGCATTTATCCCTTTGCATTCCTTATTTTAGATATTCTTTACATTACAAACATGTAACTCAGTTGGTGTTTATATAGATGTGTTTTTACTAACCAGTTCTTGTGTGGCCTAGATTTCTCAGAAGAATGAAATATATGGCTTGTTGGTGTAGTCACTTTGCTTTGGGGATTAATGTGTGATTGATTAAGCAGAACAAAACTTCTCGCTTAGGTATTCCCCTTTGTAGAACACAGTCTTCTGAAGCCCATCAATAAAGAGGGAAAAGTGTAATAATATATTAGAAAAGTTACCCGGAATCGAGAGCCTCCCTGGTTCTTTGTCTACAGAGGTCTCCTGCTGGAGATGGGGAGTGGTAGTGGCCTGGCTTCCAGAGAGGGGAGGAGGGATCCAAGAATCCTATTCTCCCTTATATGAACTTTCAACCAGTTTTCCTGTTTTCCTCCCTTTCCTTCAGTACCCCCTCACTTCCCCTTGTGTGGTCCTTGGTGTATGTGTTCTGAGCCTTTGTGGAGCTCTAGGTAGGGATCCACTTTTTGCTAATAGGCATATCTCCTCTGCAGGCATTGAAGAGGCATTGAACTGCTTAGTCAGTTACTTTTTCTTTTTCTGCTTTTGCCTTCTTCCAAAAAATTATTGCCATCTCTCTTCTGTTATCTTCTTTCTTGTTTTCTTCTTTATTCTGGGTTTATGAAGTTTATCAAGTTAGTGAATTTCAAGTGGGAGCTAAAGTAAACGTGTGTTTAATCCTCCCATGCTTTCAAGGATTCCATCTAGATCACTTCTTTCCATCTGTTTGGAGGTACGTTTTTTTCTTTTTACACGTGTGAAATAAAAAACACCCACCAGGGCAAGTTTTTAACAGAAGTGTGTGTTTGTTTGTTTGTTTTGTGAGGAACATCAGCCCTGAGCTAACATCCATGCCAATCCTCCTCTTTTTGCTAAGAAGACCAGCTCTGAGCTAACATCTATTGCCAATCCTCCTTTTTCCCCCTAAAGCCCCAGTAGATAGTTGTATGTCATAGTTGCACATCCTTCTAGTTGCTGTATGTGGGACGTGGCCTCAGCACGGCCGGAGAAGCGGTGCGTCGGTGCGTGCCCCCAGGGATCCGAACCCGGGCCGCCAGTAGCGGAGTGCACGCACTTAACCGCTAAGCCACGGGGCCGACCCAGAAGTGTTTGTTTTAATTTTAGTTTTGATCATTGAGGTCTTTTGCCAGGAAATGGGCATCCAGTCTTTTTAGTGCAGTTTGTGTTATGTTTCAGACTTCTTGGCACAATTTCTAATATTGGGGATTGTTTTATTTTGGGTCTGTCATCTCTATGGGCCATTCTACTGCCAGAAATCTTATGAATCTCTAGCAAACTTTTTTTTTTTGGTCAGGAAGATTGGCCCTGAGCTAACATCTGTTGCCAATCTTCCTCTTTTTGCTTGAGGAAGATGGTCCCTGAGCTAACATCTGTGCCAGTCTTCCTTATTTTGTATGTGGGATGCCACCACAGCATGGCTTGATGAACAGTGTGTAGGTCCGTGCCTGGGATCCGAACCCATGAACCCCAGGCCACTGAAGTGGAGTGCGTGAACTTAAGCCCTATGCTACCAGGCTAGCCCAAACTTTTTTTGTATGACAGTCATCAGTTACGATTCTGCGTTACTTTATTATATAGGTGTCTTTTCCCTCCCTACTCCTAATTTTTAGTAGGAGTATTATTTCCCATCCTTGGAAGAATGGGATTGATAATACATCTGGACTGTTATTTAAAGAGAACTGTATTTTTATTCTTTTCATATTTTTCTTTGCTTTACCTATTTTATTTCTATTATTTATTAACCTGAAATGTAATTTGAACGCTTATTAAGTTAGTTTGCATACACATGTGATCTTTACTTTCCAAGTATTTCTTCTGTAATTTGACCTGCATTTCAGTTGTGTTTTTATATCTTTATTCATACAATGTTGCACACTCTCATCTGGTGTTAGAAGCCTATATTGATTTGTGATATTTTATACTAAAGTGTTATTGATGGGCATAGTTTATCTAGGGATTTTTCAGAGGTAGTTAAATCCTCTCCTACCTTTTCCAAGTTCTCATTAGGAGTCTAAAGGAGATGCTGGTGTAACACTACTATTTGGATATCAGCAGGCGGCCTTCTGTTTTAAATTGGAATTGAGAATAAATTATTGATATTAAACTTCGGTATTTCCTTATATTGGCTATTTTTTCCTTTCTTTCCCAGACAGTTAAGTTTATGAAAAGGTTTACATGTGTTTTGATTTCATAATGGCTCTGAATTATATTGAATGAACTGAAAATATATGGAAAATTGTGTCTTCTGTTTTCAGGTTCTGTTCTGGATATTATTAAGCACATTGTGGCAAAAGGGGAACACAAAAGTGGAGTCCTAGATGAACCTACCATTGCAACAATACTCAGAGAAGTGCTGGAAGGGTTGGACTACCTGCATAAAAATGGACAGATTCACAGGTATGTAAAAAACAACACTCTTCTCTTTCGGATGAGCGCCGTATCATTTCAGTGAGGCCATTCCCCATTCTTTTGCAGAATTAATCATAATCTCTGAGTGTTAACATGGCTTTTTGTATTACCAGTTTCAGTACATTGTGGTTAGGGTTTTAATTCATAGTTAGTAAGTATTTAAAAAGTAACAAATACTTTAATCAAATTGGAAAATACAAAAATAGGAAAAATTCCCAATTTCCTACCAGGAGGTAATCACTGAAAACATTTTGGAATATTCCTTTCCAGTTTCTTTTATATGCTTAAAAATATTTAAAACAAAACTATATATAATTTTGTCTATTGCTTTTTTCAGTTCTTTTATCTTGAGTATTTTCTCAATTTATTAAAAGCTCTTTTTAAAATAACTTCTTTTATTAAACCTTTTTTTTTTAATAAAATAACATTTAAAATGTTGTGTAACATTTCATGGTTCAAGTATTTCTAGCTATCAATATTCAGTTTCTGAGTACAGATAACAAGAATTCAAATGGTGATGGATTCTGTTAATACAAATCTGCTTAGTCCCTGCATGTGGTTTTCTTTTATTTGAGGATATCTTTATTTCCCCTTTATTCCTGAAGGATAGTTTCCCTGGATATAAGAATTTGTAGTTGACAGTTCTTTTCTTTCAGCACTTGAAAAATACTGTGCTACTTAATTCTGGCCTTCATGGTTTCAGATGAGAAACTTATCATTTGAATTGGTGTTTTCTAGTTAATATGTTGTTTTTCTCTGGCTACTTTCAAGATTTTTTCTTTTTCTTTGTTTTTGAAGTTTAATTACGATATGTCTGGGTGTGGATTTCTTCAAATATATCCTATTTGGGGTTCCCAAATTTCTTGAATCTGTAGGTTTTTGTCTTTTACCAAATTTGGGAAATTCTCAACCATTGTTTCTTTGGCACTTTTCAACCTGTTTTTCTCCTCTTTTTCTGGGACTCTGATTATATAAATGTTAGATCTTTTGTTATTGTACCATAATCCCTGAGGTTCAGTTCATTTTTTTTTTCAGCCTATTTTTTTCTCTGTTCAGATTGAGTAAATTGTATTGATTTGTTCTCAAGTTCACTGATTCTATCCTCTGTCCTCTCCATTCAACTATAGAACCCATTCATTGAGTTTTTTATTTCAGTTATTATAATTTTTTAGTGTTTAATTTTCATTTGGTTCTTGTTTATGGCTTTTATTTCTTTACTGAGATTTCCTATTTTTCATTTGTTTTGAGAATTCCAGATTGTGTGTTGAAGCATTTTTATGATGGCTGCTTTAAAATTCTTGTCAGATAATTCCACCATCTGATTCATCTCGGTTGATGTCAGTTAAATGTTTTTTCTTATTGAAGGTTTTCCTGGTTCTTGGTTTGATGAGTGATTTTTTATTGTATCCTGGATGTTTTGGATGTTATGTTAGGAGATCTTGATCCTATTTAAATAATATATTTTAGCAGGCAATTGCCCTGTTTAAATTTAGAATATAGGTCCTGGCCTACTTTTGTGTGCTGTAGTTCCAATGATTGATTTTTAGAGCCTTTGCAGTGTTGTTTTGGTTTGTTTTGTTCATGTGGCACTGCTTGGGTTCTCTACTTAATCTCTGCTGAAGCCACCCATGGGCAGAGTGCTCTTGCCTGGTGCTGCTAGGTGGAAGATGGGAGATAGATGTTGTGCCTGTGAGTTTGTGAGCACTTCCTTAGAACCCACCCTGTTGGCCAAGCATCTTAGTGAGAGTGGGGCTCCCATTCATTCTCTGTTGGTATTGCCTGTGGGGCGTGGAATTTCCCATCTGGTCTTCATTGACACCTCCAGTTCTGGCATAGAAGGCCAGCCTGCAACTCCAGCAGTGGAGTTGGGGGTGAGGTCCCCTGCTAGGTCTGAGCTAGGCTGCCCCATTCCTGCTCCTTTGGCCACAGAGAGCAGGCTTGGAGCTTTTTTTTGGTCTATATCTGTTGATGGTTCTGGGTTGCAGGACTCTCTAGTACCCAGTTCACGGTATACAAGATTAAAAGAAAACTCAGGGAAGTGGTATGGTGCTATTTGAAAGTGGAATTGGATTAAGTGTAAATGCAGATAGCAAACTCTAGGGCAACCATGAAAAAAAGAATAAGAATTGATATGCTAAGAGAGGACATAAAAATGAAATCATATAAAATTTATAAGATCATATAAAATTAAAATCAAGGAAGGCAGAAAAAGAGTGAAAGACACAAGATGTCATCTTAAAAATCACCTACCTTTAAGGAACTAGAAAAAGAAGAACAAACTAAGCCCAAAGGTAGCAGGAGGAAGTAAATAAAAAAGACCAGAGGGGCTGGCCTGGTGGTGTAGTGGTTAAGTTTGCATGCTCCGCTTTGGCAGTCCAGGGTTTGCACATTCGGATCCTAGGCGCAGACCTACACACCGTTCGTCAAGCCATGCTGTGGTGGTATCCCTGGCACAGATGTTAGCTCAGGGACAGTCTTCCTCAAACAGAAAGAGAAAGATTGGCAATGGATATTAGCTCAGGGCCAACCTTCCTTACCAAAAAAAGACCAGAGCAGAAAAACATGAAATATACACTAAAAATGTAGTTGAAAAAATGAATGAGACTAAGAGCTGGTTTCTTAAAAAGGTAAACGAAATAGACCAACTGTTAGCCAGACTCACCAAACAAAAAAGAGAGGACTCAAATAAATAAAATCAGAAATGAAAGAGGAGACATTACAACTGATACCACAGAAATACAAAGGATCATGAGAGTCTACTATGAACGGTTATACGCCAACAAATTGGACAACCTAGAAGAAATGGACAAGTTCCTAGAAATGTACTATCTATAAGGACTGAATCATGAAGAAACAGAAAATCTGAACAGACATATTACTAGTAAGGAGATCAAATCAGTAATCAAAAACCTCACAACAAAGGAAAGTCCAGGACCAAATGGCTTCACTGGTGAATTCTACCATACATTTAAAGAACTAATAACAATCCTTCTCAAACTCTTCCAAAAAACAGAAGAGGAGGGTATACTTCCAAACTCATTTTATAAGTCCAGCATTACCCTGATACCAAAGCCAGACAAGGACACTACAAGAGAAGAAAATTACAAGCCAATATCCTTGATAAACATAGCTGCGAAAATCCTAAATAAAATATTAGCAAACCAAACTCAACAATACATTAAAAGGATCACACACCATAATCAAGTGGGATTTATTGCAGGGATGGTCCAACATCTGCAGATGAAGCAATATGATACATCATATTAACAAGTGAAGGATAAAAATCATAATCATCTCAATAGATGCAGAAAAAGCATTTGACAAAATTCAACATCCTTTCATGATAAAAACTCTCAACAAACTCGATATAGAGGGAATATACCTTAACATCATAAAGGCCATATATGACAAGCCCACAGCTAACATTGTACTCAATGGTGAAAAGCTAAAAGCTTTTCCTCTAAGATCAGAAATGAAACAAGGATGCCTACTCTCACCACGTTTATTCAACATATTATTGGAAGTCCTAGCCAGAACAGTTAGGTGTGAAAAAGAAATAAAAGACATCCAAATCAGAAAGGAAGAAGTAAAACTGTCTTTATTTGCAGATGACACGATATCATATATAGAAAACTCTAAAGACTACACCAAAAAAACCCTCAAACTGTTAGAACTCATAAACAATTTCAGTTTTATTTCTTTTTCTTGCCTAATTGCTCTGGGAAAAACCTCCAGTACTATGTTGAATAAGAGTGATGAGAGTGGGCACCCTTGTCTTGTCTTTCATACCTGTTAAATGTCTGTTATCAAAAAGACAAGAGATAACAGATGCTGGTGAGGATGTGGAGAAAAGGGAACCCTTGTACACTGTTGGTGGGGGTGTAAACTGCTACAGCCACTATGGGAAACAGTGTGGAGTTTCCTCAAGAAATTAAAAATAGAACTGTTATATGAACCAGCAATCCCATTTCTGGGTATATACCCAAAGGAAATGAAATCAGTATCTCAAAGAGATATCTGCACTCCTGTATTCATAGCTGGCAGTCTAGTGGTTAAGATTTGGTGGTCTCACTGCTGAGGCTGGGGTTTGTTTCCCGGTCAGGAAACCACACCACTCGTTTGTTGATTGTCTTACTGTGGTGGCTGTGTGTTGCTGTGATGCTGAAAGCTATGCCACCCGTATTTCAAATACCAGCAGGGTCACCCATGGTGGACAGGTTTCAGCAGAGCTTCCAGGTAAGGCAGACTAGGAAGAAGGACCTGGCCACCTACTTACAAAAAAATTGGCCATGAAAACCCTGTGAACAGGAGCAAAGCATTGCCTGATATAGCACCGGAACGTGAGAGGATGGTGCAAAAAGACCGGGCAGGATTCGCTGTACACAGGGTTGCTAAGAGTTGGAATCTAGTCGATGGCACTAACAACAAAAAAATGTTTATAGCAGCATTATGCACAACACCCAGATATGGAAACAACCTAAGTGTCTGTCAATGGTTGAATGGATAAAGAAAATGTGGTGTATGTATATATATGATGTTAGCTGTGGGCTTGTCATATATGGCCTTTATGTGTGTGTGTGTATATATATATATATATATAAAATGGACTATTATTCAGCTATAAAAAAGAAGAAAATCCTGTCATTTGTGACAGCATGGGTGAACCTGGAGGGCTTTATGCTAAGTAAATTAAGCCAGACAGAGAAAGACAAATACTGCATGGTATTACTTATGTGTGAAATCTGAAAAAAAAAAAAAAAAAAAAGTTGAACTCATTGAAACAGAGAATAGAAAAGTTGTTACCAAGACCTGGCAGGGTGGAGGAAATACAGAGAGGTTAGTAAAAGGGTGCAAACTTTCAGTTATGAGATGGATAAGATCTGAGAATCTAATGTATAGCATGGTGACAGTAGTTGAGAACACTGTATTGTATTATTGCAATTTGCTAAGAGAGTAGAATTTAAATGTTCTCACCAAAAAAAAAAAAG